AGAAAACAGAGAGTAAGGTCATTTGCCCAGTTCTTGAAGTTTGCTGTGGTAGCAAGGCAAATTTATTATTATTATTTATTTATTTATTTATATTTATATTTTTATTTTTAAATTTTACTTCTCAATATACATTGTAGTTGATTTTCATGCCCCTTTACCTGTTCCTCTCTACCCCCTCCCCTCCCCCCACATCATATCTGTTCACTTGAGTAGCAAGGCAAAATTAAATGACCATTTCATTTTCTTTTGGAAGTAATGATGGTGGGGAGGTGCTGGCCATAGGCAACATTTGCCTTGGTGCCTCAACCCTCTGATAGGATGTAGGAAATGTTCAATAAGTGTTGGTTGGATGAATAAATGAATGATCATTTCAAGGTGGGCTAAATTTTGGCACTGCTTTTTTTCATCCTGTTCTCAGCAACTGGCCTCCTAGTGTAGCTAGCCCCATGGGGACTACAAAAACATAGGAGGAGGAAAAAAGGATGTGTATTGGATGTCAGAAGAGTAAGAGTGTCAGTTTCAGTCTAGCCATCTTTTGAATCATGAACATATACACATCTTTGACTAGCCTTAAACCATTCAGCATGATGTATTGGGGAAAAAAATCATGCAATTTTGGAGATAAAATTGTCTAAAACTTAACTTTACTACTTGCTAATATTCTACTCAGGGAAGGTTACTGATCCTCTCTGAGGCTCAGTTTTTCTTCACTTAAAATGGATAAATTACCCATTACCTTGGAGGCTTGTTTTGAGGCAAATCATTTCATATAATGTGTATGCATGTCTCAACAACAGCAATAACAATTTTAATTTTTTAAATATCTCTCCTAGATGCTTGAGTCAGGGCTGGAGGGTGTCCAGGTAATTTTCTGATATAAAATTTTCAAATATTTTTAACTATGTAAGGTAAATAGTATCATTTCCACTACCCCGGCAGTTAAACTGACAGCCAGTGATGTGAAGGGATCGGTACAAGAGCGCAGAGCTAACAGGTGTGAAAGCAGAGATTTGCCTTTAAATTTATATAATTCCTAAGCCCAGGCTTTATTTTACCCTTATTAATAGATATTATTGTTTTCCTTGCCCAAAAGAAATGAAACTACACAGTTCTGTTTTTAATTAATTTATTTACATTTTTGTTTATGGTGGTAGCTCTAGTCCCCATAAGAAACCTCAAAAGGCTCAACAGTTTTGTTCATTTTGCTTACTTATTCACAGTCTAGCTGTGGCCTTCACATAGGTTGTGTTTCTAGTTTTTATTATTGGATCTCTCTTTTTTTCCATTAGATTTCTTCTACTTTATTTTAGGTTACATACTTTGTAATACCAAAGTCCAGAGGCATTAGGGCATGCAGTAAAATTTTAGAGCCAATGAGGTAACTCAGATTTTCTGTAACTCAACCCAAGGGAGAAAACAAGATGCAGCCGTCCAGATATGCAAAAGTACAACAGTTTCTTTTGTGTGAATGGAATTAGAGATTCTGTTGGCTATGTGTCTGCATGTGATGTCAGTGGGAACGCTGAATATTAAGGGTGGAGATGCTAACTTGGATGATCTGACTTTGGAACTATTAGCAGAAGCTGGAAATGCTTATAACTATGGCTGAGTCAGAAGGATATGAACCTTATTCTGAAAGTTGCCTTTAATTAAAAGAGTCTGGCCCTCTTGGATTTTGGCAAGCTGGCTGTTCAACAAGCATTAGTTCTTTGGAAATCTAACTTTCTCAAGTTTTGTTTTTATTCAGCATCTTAGATTTTTGTTTTGTTTTTCATTTTCAGATTTATAATCGCTTAGATACAAACTGCTGTGGATTCAGACCTCGCAAGGAAGATACCTGTGTACAGAATGGATTGAGACCAAAATGTGACGACCAAGGTTCCACAGCTCTAGCACACATTATCCAGAGAAAGCATGACCCAAGGCATTTGGTCTTTATAGACAATAAGGGTTTCTTTGACAGAAGCGAAGACAATTTAAACTTCAAATTATTAGAAGGCATCAAAGAGTAAGTTTTATGATGTAGTAACATCTGCAGGACATCATCTTTACATTAAATAAGTAGTAAGGTTCTGAGAAAATTTAAACCCTATGTCTGATTGATTTAACACTTGAAAGGAATTATGAGTATGGAAGCTGGAGTCGAGATCCGGAAAAGGGAAACATACCCAAGCAGATCAGAACCAGAGTGCAGCTTGGTGTCTCTGTCACCAACCCATGTTACCTACAAAGCTCATGCTACGTTTTACATTCATTATGTTGCTTGGCCCTCATTGTGAAAATCCATGCAGGTTAGGTTGGAAGAGTGCATGGATCTCTGAAATAGGAAGTGGCAGAGCAGGGATGAACAGGTGGCAGGGCTCCGTTATTAGGGAATAGGATAAAACATGGGGGGAACTGATAGACATGCAGATATTGACATGGCAGGATGTCCAAATTCATAATTAACTCGGGTGACTTTTACGAATGCAGTGGAAAATGACAGCCAATCTGGTGAGTAGGGCACAGTATTAAAGGACAGCTGGCTATTTAATTCATTTAACTATTTAATATTAGTTTTTGAACATTTGAAAATTCTTCCAGTAGACATATATTATGGAGAGAAGTATCTGATGCCTGAAGGGGAGGGCTAATGGAGGCTATTTAAGGAAGGAAAGGTATTGCTATAATCAGGATTGATCAAGAATTCTGGGGAGACTTCAAAAATTTTGGGACATCTGTCAGGGCTCAGAAAAAATGCAGAGTTCAGAGGGACCAACGTGGAACTGAAGGAGTTCTGCACTGCAGAAGTTAAACACAGTGGTTGCTCATGGCATACTTGATCTTGCATCTATTTGGAAATAAAAGAAACTAAGATGCTTAAGAGTGGCAGGAATCCAGCCATAAGGTCTGAGCTATTAACTCCAACTATGGCAATTGTAGCTAGATTTCAAGCTCTACTTCATAGCGGTGGAGTCACCCTCCATATACTTCCGACCTTAGTCAGAACTCAGGTTGACTAAGAAATTGTGATAGGTTGGAGTCTTTAAAGTAGAGGAGTACATTAGTAAAATAGCTAACCAGCTGTGTGAAGCTGACCACTGGAAAGCATATGAACAAATCTGAAATTGAGGTTAGAACCTCAGTCTTCCAACTCCATGTCCAATATATTTCCCTGTAGTAACTTGAGGTGTTTATGCTCCTAGTAGTAATACTCTGAAGCATATTTCAATTGTTCTTTCTAAACACTATGACTTATGTAATGTAGATTTTATGTACTTTCAACATTAAAAGCAATACTGTGCCTGTGAGAGGTTTTTTTTTTTTTTTTTTTTCCCTTTTTGTC